GTGAACCAAACACGCCCCGGGCCCCCCTACCAACCACAGCCCCCCCAGGAGCAGGACGCTCAGTTCTCGGCTGCCCCAGGAAATCACGTGCAGCACCAAGCCGGCTCCCGGGACCCCCCGGCTCTCCCAAAGATGGCAGACCACCCAGCTCCCGGCCCCCTCCTCCGAGCCAGCCCGCTGGAGAGGGCAGGATGCTACATGCCAGCGAGGGGGCGAGGGCCTCGGGGCAGGAGGAAGGGAAGCGGCTGAGCAGGTTTCCTGGGGCCAGCCCAGCCAAGGAGGACGGGAACCCGCCCACCCCTTTGCCGGGGCGGGCAGCAGCCTGCTTCCCCCACCCTGACAGCAGGCGGATAGCTGAGGCCTGTGTCACCCTCCTGGGCGGAGGGCCCCGCCACCAGAAAAATGAGGAAAGGACTGGGAACGAAAAAAAAAAAAGGCAGCAACGAAGCCGGGAAGCCGGGTGTGGGCCAGCCCCGGCCTCCCTCCTGGCAGGTTACTAAATATTTTCCTAACATCCTGTCCCAGCCGCGCTGGCCCTGGGGCCTGGGGCCCCGCCCCCGCCCCCTTTTGGGGCAGAGAACAAAGGCCAGAAGGAGGAGGGGGAGGGGCGGCTCCCCACCCCTCACAACGGGGTCACCGAAGGCGGAAGAAGTGTCAGGAAAGCTGGCCCCTCCTTCTCCCCTCCCCCCCAGCAAAAATTAAAAAAAAAAATCACTCTGGGGAAACCACATCAGTCTTGGAGGGGCTCCGCAGCGGAGCAGTGGGGCTGGGGACGCAGGCCGGGGTGGGAGCGTGGGCCAAGGTCACCCCGCGGGCAGGCTTGTGGAAGCCCAGCCCCCTCCCCCATGGCGGCCACCGTGGGAGACAAGGCTCTCAAGGTCAGGTGGTGAGGGCTAGGGGAGGAGGAAGAGGAAGCGGGGTGACCAGGCCAAGCTGGCACTAAGGCGGGGCGGCGCGTTCCCTCCCCTCCCCTCCCCTCCCCGTGGGCCTCCTGGGAGCACAAACAACCCCCAGGCTCCCCAGAGCGGCCGGGCAGCGGGCCTGCTACCACCCCCCCCAGGGCTAGGAGGGGCGGGCTGGAGTCTCACCTGCGTCTCAGTCAAACTCTCCAGGGCCTGCATCACAGACTGTTCTGGCCGGGAGGCCTGAGACTACAAAGACAGAGGAAGGAGACCCTGAGCATGGGCTCTGGCCGCACAGCCGGGGCACCAGGGTGGGGAGGGCCCTGCCTGCGGGGGTGGGCTGCCCTGGTGGGGAAGGGGACCCAGACATATGTGATGGGGAGCGAGCTCGCATGGAAGGGGGCTACCCGCTTGCGTTGGGACCTGCAGAGCTCACTGCCCCAGCCATTTACCATGAGGCCAGCCTCCACGGTGGGGACGAGCGTCAGTTTGCTGCCATCCCCCACGCCGAACTCCTGCAGCTTCCCCGAACCGAGCCGGCTGGGGGGAGGAAGGAAGAGGGTGAGGCTATGCGGAGACAAGGCAGGGACGCGGAAGCGGAGGCCGCAAGGGAGGGCTGTGCTCCCACCCACACCCCTTCCTGGCCTCCAGATCCAGGGCTCTGAGCAAGCGGCGGGGGAGGTTCAAGGTCTGGCCCTGGGAACCCCCATCCTGGTGGTTCAGACCCCTTGTCTCTAGGAACCCCAACTCGGCACTGGGGCACCCCCTCTGCACCCCAGCAAGGCACTTTTTCATCATCCGGTACCAATGCACCCAGTGCCACCCTCCCCCCAGCCCGAGGCCAGCCCTGCCTGTAAATCACCAACTCCGGCCCTGGGCTCGTCTTTGTGGGCTCCACAGGGCTTAGCCTTCGGGTCTTCCCCGGCCGGCTCCCGCTCTCCCTCCCTCCCCGGCGCAGGCCGCCGCCGCTCAGACAAAGGAGACCCTCCTCCTCCCGCCCCTCCCCCATGGGGCCCCTCCGCTGGGGATGGACACTGCATGTCCCTGGAGGCCCGCGGGGGGAGGGCTCCCCGGCCTGGAGGCGATTTAAATACCATGGGGGAGGGGGAGGCTGCGGGGAGCGCTCGGTGGCGAGAACAAAGGGGGGCAGGAAGACGCAAGTAGGGGGAGAGCCAGCCAGACGCAGAGGGGGCCGCCGAGCAGATGCGGAAGCCGGCGGGGACGCGGGCAGAGGAGGCGGCGGCCGCGCACCCCACCCCCGCAGCCGGGACCCCCGCGCCGCCTGGGA